TTAACAGTAGGTACCCTAAGAGACCTAGCAAAGCCATGACACAACAAGAGCAAAGAAGAAGCCAGAAAGACCAAAGAGAAAACCTAACACAGAACAAAACAAGACTAACCAAAAAAGATAAAAACTAAGTACAAGGCCAGAGAATCTAATAAAGCAAAAGTTGACTCAATGGTACTTGTAATATCCCATTCAGTAATTAATAAAAGTAATTATTTTTGTTCTAAGTTTGAACTAATTACTTTTATTAATAATGCTCGTTCCTAGTTTCAAGCCCAGTTATTAAGTTATTCAGTTAAAAGTTCGACTTTAAGTTGAAAGTATTCTCGGTTAAATTTTATTTAGTAATCGAGCCAGTTCAGTAATTAATTAATTTCGGTCTGTTTATTTGTATAAATGGATTTATAAGATGGATTAATTATAATAAGATGACGAATAATAAAAATCGAGTATATTTTGATTACTCGTTCAAGATAAGTCGTGAACCGAACCAAGCATGTTCGGTTACGAGTTAAGATTATTACCAAGCAAATGATTCTCGAGCTTAGCTTAGTTTTGATTATTGATCAAGTTATAAGGATTAATTAGACATTAATGTTTATTGAATTGAAATAAGTTATTTAAGATGAAGTTCAAGTTCAAGTAACATTCCATTTTATTTAACTAAATGGATGTAAATTTGGCCATTTCTAGTTTGAATGAGAAAGAAAAAGAATAATGAGTCGAGACAAGTTAGGTCTTGAGTTCGGTTAAGTATCCATGAACATTTAAGTTATAAACGTTCAAAGAAGTGAGAAAATTTATTTAGACATTTTAGTCTATTTAAATTATTAGAGGGAAATATGAAATTTTTAGAATTTTCGTTTTTTTTCGGTTTTCGATTGTAGTCGGAATATATGTCCGATTTCAGTTCCGAGAAATAAATTAAATTGTTTTCTCTCTATATTTTTAGTAGACTACAAGATAAGAAAAATTTTTCAGCATAAAAAGAAAAAATGCCAAAAGAAAAGAAGGAAATTCGAAAATTGTAAGAATTTTCGATTTTAAAGTGCCTGTTCGTTTTAAGTCAGAATTTGGTTCCGTAAATTGGAGAATTTTCACTAAATCTCGAACTTAATCATTGAGATCAGATTAGGATCAGAAGAGGGCCTTTCTAAGCATTGACTATGGGTTGGAGAAGTTTACAAGTTAAGAATACTATTTATTATCTATATTTATTTTTACAAGTTTGTATTGTTTATTTTGTTAATTTCTTCACTCAATTATGATGTCTTGCAAATTGTGCCTATAAATAGAGGCCTAAAAATCAGAGTTTATGCACCAAAGTTAAGTACCAAAAGTTATATAAGAGTGTAAGAGAGATAAGTAGTAGAAACTTTGGAGAAGTGAAGAATTTGAAGTAAAGAATCAAGTTTTTATTCTAGCAAGAAGGAGGTAATTTACTTATCTTAAAGTTACATGCTTAAGTTCATGTTTTGATAATAAGTTTACATGTTTATAAGTATGTATATCATGATATAGAAGTTACGTTTATAATTGATTCTATGAATATAAAGAGTTAAAGTTGTTCAAGATCAATTATATGATATATGTACTTGATTTGATGAAATGTTGATAAAGATATGAATAAGCTGGAAGAGTATGATTTAAATGAATGATTATTATGTAAAAGAGGAGTACATGAAAACAAGAATTAAGAGATTTGGCAAAATATAGCTTGAGTTATGAATTTTTAAAGATGAACATGTAAGATGAAGTTTATGTTCACTATTGAATTTAAATTCTCATAACTTGATGAATATGGATGCTAAAATTATGAAATTTTGAGGACATGTCTAATTATAAGTTGAGATTATGACTGTTAAGTTTCATAATTTAAAGATGAGAAATGAATAAGTTATGAATATAAGAAGGCATATATGTAAAGATAAGTATATATGCAAGAATATTCATGAAATGTTTAAGTTGTTAAAATGAGATGATCATGAATAATTCTCATATAAGTGATGAGTAATTTGATGATGTTTTGGTGTAATATGTTGAGTATACAATTTTATAAAGATTGTATTATGTATGATATATTAACATCATGATTAAATGTTATGAGTAAAAGATGATATGGCTTGAGATTATTTTCACTTTCAAGTTAATTAAGTGAAAATTTAGTATAAGCCAATTTGGAGATATGATGAATGATGAATTAAGTATTTGATTGAGTAAAAGATCAAATTAAGTTAAGATAAGTTTATAAATCATGTTGATGATGTTGGTAAAAGTAAGCATATTTTAAGTTTAAATCAAGTATAATGTGAAATATAGTTATTTTCACATTTGAGTTATGACATGCTAAGTATAATACCATATTAATGTTTATGAAGACATGATTTATACAAGGTTAAGTAATTGACCTTAAGTATAAATAAAAAGAGAAGTTAAGTATAAACTTGAGAAAAAGCAAGTTTAATGAATTTCTATAAGATTTGGATAAGTTAAAAATCCTAAAAATCTTATTGAGTATATGAGCATAGTACTTAGTATATTTGTCTATATTTGATGTAACTTGCAGATACAGTACCAGTACAGCACTTATCGTTTTTCAAATGATTTCAAAGACAAAAAGGTGGGGACCCTGAATGGGTATCACGTTGAGTACGATATTGATGTCATATGGGATGAGGAGACCATCAGTTGTCTCAGAGTATATCCTAAAGTTTAAGTTTATTACGCTTGGGATGAGGAGGCATTAATTTGTTCTCAGAGATTATATCCTAAGTTCTGATGGAGGCCGTTAGGTGCCTTAGAAATATCCATCAGAGTGTGCACACGTATCCGATTAACTATCGGCAAGATAAGAGAAAAGTTTAAGTTACCGATCAGATATCGGTTTATGATTATCCATATTCGTTACTCAACCCCATGAGTTTTAGTTTCAGGTAACAGGTCGAAGAAGAGGTGTGAGTGGAGCAGTGTTGGTGTGGATAGTGGACTCAGATGAATACAAGCTTTGATACGGACATTTATAACAGTCTGTATAATTAACCACGTTTTCAAGTATTTCCGCTATGCACATTAAGTATTGAACTTGCATTTTAATGAATTTCATATTTCAAATTTTTACCATTATGAAAAATATGATTATGGTATTTTAAATGCAAGTTTAAAGGAAATCTGTTTTAATTATGTATAAAGAAGTATTAGACAAAAGTTTAAAGATAAACGGATTTTCAAGATGATGAGTTTAATTAGCATCCCGAGTTAGTCGCAAAAGATTTCAAAAGAATTAAGTATATTCGAAGTAAAAGTTGCGAAAAATTTACTCTGATAAGCGGGGTGTTACAGTACTCATACTTCTAAATTTCCAAAAATCAAATATCCAAAATCACCTCTACAGTTCTGCAACTTCTTGCCAATATTGTAAAATCCATCATTCAGAAGTATTCAAAACTAAAATTAAAAATTCCGGAAAAGCCCATAAAAACTACCCTATCTCACTGCAATGAAATTGAATTTTACCTTGTTAACAAAATGGAACCTAACTAGGGAATTTGTGGACTCAATGACATCAGAATTACCTTGTCGACAAGATGGAACTGGACTTGGGAATTTGTGGATTCAATGACGCTAAAGTGAATCAAAAAAGAATAATCCTCTAAGGCGAAACATGACCAATCATATATTCGAAATGCTTAAGACAAAACATGAACAATCATCCATTCAAAATGCTGAAAGTCGAAGCACGAGCAATCATCGATTTGAAATGCAGTAAAACATAATCTATACTTTATATAACCCCATTTGTTAGAATTCTATAATTAGTAGGAAGAAAAGTCAAAGATAATCAATGCATTCTATTTACATCAATTAATTTTTATTTAATTGTTTTTTCCATCATATGAAATGTGTATGCATAAATATCTTATTCCTTTTAAGATAAGTATGTTTCAACATGTATATATATTTTATACATGAGATCAAAATTTTGTTTTTTTTTCATGCAATGTAATTAAGGAACTTTTGTAACTATAATAAAAAGATAACAAAACAAAAGAATCACAATGGCGACATGGTGATTAATCTGTAAAATTGCAAACATGTCAAATGGCGTCATTACTTTTAATCTGAAAAGAGATTAAAAATGCAAATATATATAGATTTTTTTAAGAGAAAGATTCCCAAAACATGTATGCATAAAAATCTCATTCCTATGAAGGTAAACATGTTTCATTATGTACATATATCATAAATATGAGAAGAAAATTCTATTTTTTTTTTCATGGGAGGTAACTAAATTTTCAATGTTTCAATATATATACAAATATTTAATTAAATTTCTAAACAATTTAAAAGTTTTCAATGTTTAAACTAAATGATGAATGATTTATAATTCTACATTTTATTGAAATATGTATTTTTATTTATATTAAAAATAATTTTAAATGTAGCAAAATTTATTTAAAAAATATCGATATTTTCAATGTACTGATGTTGACCGACTTACTAGCAAACATTTTATTCAAGCGAACCGGACTGGTCGATAAACCAATTCCCTACCCATCCGGTCAGAGTACTGTTTGATCTAGTCCAATTTTAAAAACAATGTGTAAATCATGATTAATATTATTTATATATTTAATTTATAATACAATCGTAATATTATTTCCCCGTGCATCGCACGGGCCACGTACTGGTATGAACAATCACCCATGCTTGTTTACTTGAGCAAGCCTAAAATGTCTTCAGTTTTTCAATATTTCTGTCACACAATATTTTTCTGTCTTAGGATCAAATTATTCTCAACTACAAATATGACACAGTCTCATCCTATCCTTCCCATAGCCGTATTTAAAGGCTGAAAACTATCCTACCATGCAGAAAAGAAGCTAACTAGTAAATGAAACAATGTGTTTTTCTGTCTCTACATATTTAGGGGGAAAAAATCACAACCACACCATTGAAACACTATCATATTTATATAATCTGGAAATATTATTTATTTATTTATTTATTTATTTATTTATTTATTTATTGAATTAGTATTATGCCGGCATTGACATGTGGACATGAAAAGAATCTAAGGTTTTCACGAACAGATGGTTCGTATACTAAAAAACCACAGCCAATAAACACTGCTATATCTGAAAGCTTACGAAAAAAACTTAAAAACCGGCACTTGGGTTGCCTGCTCCCGCAGCTATTACACCCATACCACCGTCAGGCGTGTGGTCACTAGATTTTGCGATGGCCAAACTATCACCATCCAAGTCGTGCACAAGTTCATCAATCTTTCGAAACTGATAAGGCCACCTCGCGTTGTACAGAAATTGGCGTAGATCAAACCTGTTATCCTCTGGCGAGTAACTCTGCAGAGGCATTTCAGGTTTAATAAATACTCTGTACCATGCTAATGAAACTCATATACGCGCGTTTGTGGAAGCAAAATTAAGTGGAAAAAGAAAAAAAAAAAAAAAAAAAAAAAAAAAAAAAAAAAAAAAAAAAAAAAAAAAAAAAAAAAAAAAAAAAAAAAAAAAAAAAAAAAAAAAAAAAAAAAAAAAAAAAAAAAAAAAAAAAAAAAAAAAAAAAAAAAAAAAAAAAAAAAAAAAAAAAAAAAAAAAAAAAAAAAAAAAAAAAAAAAAAAAAAAAAAAAAAAAAAAAAAAAAAAAAAAAAAAAAAAAAAAAAAAAAAAAAAAAAAAAAAAAAAAAAAAAAAAAAAAAAAAAAAAAAAAAAAAAAAAAAAAAAAAAAAAAAAAAAAAAAAAAAAAAAAAAAAAAAAAAAAAAAAAAAAAAAAAAAAAAAAAAAAAAAAAAAAAAAAAAAAAAAAAAAAAAAAAAAAAAAAAAAAAAAAAAAAAAAAAAAAAAAAAAAAAAAAAAAAAAAAAAAAAAAAAAAAAAAATGAAGAAAATTAAGGTTATGCCGATGGAGTTGGTACCTCTGCATGATAGGAAGGTGTTAGGACAGTCATCTTGTGCCTATTGATGGAATAGTACTTGAAGAAATGTTTCACTTTGTCGGCAATCTCTGATGGTGTCAACTTTGTTCCCCATTTGTAACAGAGATTCTTTTTGGGGGGAAGAAAAAAGAGAAAAAGGAATCGTATAAAATGAGCCATGATACATTACAACCAAATTTTGACAATTTGGCAGTGTGAAAGAATATGAGTTTGATATCATTTAACAGCTGCAGCAACAACAACAATATTTTCATAACAAAGGAACATGTCTCAGACTCACACGATGACTCTAAGCAAGCATATGAATCCATCTGGCATTCTTGAAATTTTTCTACACAATAAAATTAGACATACTCCCTCCGTCTAGTTTTAATTGTCGTTCTCAGTTGGACTTTCTGTTACCAATTATTTGTCATTTTAGACTTACTCCAATTATATCTATATACAAAAATCATAAAAGAATCTCATGATTTTAATTTAAAATAAAATCTGGATTCTCTAAGCATTATTGGGAAAGAGACGCATAAATATAAAATTTAGAAAGATTTAATGAAAGTTATATATTCGACAGACACGTGAATTGCTATTTCTTTTAGTTTTCTGTAGAACGATATTTATTTTCAAACAGATGGAGCAATATTTCTGAATTCACATTTGGACCTTTATTACACTCCTACAACGTTACAGATTTTTTGTTACAGTATGCACACTTGAGAAAACTGCTAATGATCAATTATTTTTTGTCTTAGTACTTGAGCCAGACACTCTTATATGTTCCCACTTTTTTTATTACATACAGCAGACTTGTTTATATGGAGAAAATCTTGCAGTAACTCGAGCGAGAAACAAGAGTATGAGCTATTGAACAAAGATAAACACTCACCTTAAACATGGAAACAGGTCCACAGCGGAATATCTTACGAAGCCTTCCGTATACCGAGAGTTCTTCGTATGTCATTCCCATATCCACTTCATCCAGCTGTTTTCAATACAAATTAAGTTTCCCGGGCACACAAAACTAATTAATAACATTTCCTATGATTATTGGCTCAATTTGATCACTTATATACCTGGCTGTAATCAGATCGTACAGGCTCCAGCTCAGCAGTGGGGGGAGCAGCTTCAATATCTGCCAAAGATGAGTAGCCCAGATGAACAGCGGCCCATCTTAAAAATATTCTTAAATCCTGTTTGCTAATGCTTCCAATTGGATTTATGTCAGCCGAACTGCAATCATACTGCACATTTAAAAGAAAAAGATTAATGAATATTAACTAAACATCATTATTACAAGCTAAGGGGGGTGAGAGGGAGGGACATTAAGAACTCAAGTCAGCCAGATTGGAAATAGCTAGTGCTATATATAGACTGATCTTTGGGGTTGATTTTTCTTTGGAAAAGTCTTCATACATCAAATGAATTTAACAGACAGTAATAGAACAATGATAAACCTAAAACATAGACAATACCTTAGTCAAGTAACCACGTAATCCTTCGTCTACATTTGAGCTTCCTAAGACCAGATAAAAACCTGGTTTGTTGTGAACCCAAGGTAATAGTGATGCTAGCATGAATGCTAAGACCATCCTTATTCGAGCCTGAATATTTTGCAACCCTAAATTTTCAATGTTTGAACCCCCATCAACCTGATAGAAGATCATCAACTCAACAACTTAATAGTATAAAAGTTCCATGTAATATAGCAGAAAAGAAGAAAATAATAAAAACCCAATCTCATTCATTCACAGAGAGATTAGTGTATATAAGCCATTCACCTTGTAGCGTGGTCGTTTTCCAGTGAGTGTCTGAAACAAAGAGAGAAGGGCAGAAACCACTCCATCTATTGAGATATCAAGATGCCATGACCCAATTTCCTCAGAAAGCACTTTTGCTCTGGTTCTTGTGGCAGTAGAACTATAAGAGATAAACTGTTACAATTGACGGCACAAGGAACACTGTCTCAATTAAATATTAAGGTCACTCACACTTCAGGTTTGATCTATATCCACTCAAGGGGCACACAAGGAAGAACTGAACATTTCTTGTAGCAAAACACAAAATTAACTACTCGGATTCCTTAAAAAATATTGAAAAAGAAAAGAGGAAATAAGAAAAAAAAATCTTTCTCTAACTGATAATTTTTTATCAAGGGCTTTTGATGCAGTTAACTGAGCATTATACAGTTTCTACTGGATATTGTAAATATTCTTCTTTATTCAACTTATTACTAAGACAGAAGGTAGAAATGCCTTGTCAATGCAACTAAATACGTTTATTTTGTAGCTTGTGAACCCGTCTATACAAACTGCAGATGCTTTACATCAGCTACCGAATGCATATTTTCCACAGATGATATATAGTATAAAAACATCGACTGATATTCCTTTCTAACAAACAATTAAAACTCAGATTTATCCATAGATAATATATTGATACGTAATGGAAAAATCACTTTCAGAAAGTTGCTGGTGTGCTGACCTAGTTTCAGTGAAAGTTGGAATTATTTCCCCAACTCATCTCAGGCCAATAAAAATAGATAGTACTGTAAATTAATATGTAACAACTAGGTCGTTGATTCTTATACATATCCATCAAATGTTTAACTGGAAAGATTTGGAAGTTTTGACGTTCATGGGAGCTAAGTATTTAAGTGCATGTGAAGTTATACATAGTCGATATTCATCACATTCTCACCTATTTTCAGATCCCATGAAAACTGTGTAGAATATACGTCTGGCAAACTCTTTGCTGTCTGTTGGAAATTGCCCATCAGTGTAATGGCCTATCCGTATAGCATCAGTTTTTATTTGTTCATCCCCATTCAATATTTCTGCAGTAACAGTTAAATCGAAAATAAATATATGTACAGAGAATTTAAAAACTACAGGAAAACTCAATATAGAAGACTGGTTACATGGTAAAGAAAATAATAAATAGTGAAGCTATCATTCGAAAAGATTGTCTATTGAATATATCGATATAAAACCAATGGAAATGGACCAACTGAACTGAACAATTTGAAAGGCCCAAGATAACTAACAATAGGATTCCATGGTTTATTTTAGCAGAGAAGAAAGAAAGAATGATAACGACTGATGTACGCAATTAAAATAAAAGTTGGGATGTATAAGTCAAACAAATGAATATCCTCAGGTTATCGATCCCCATAACATTCTTCTGCTTTAGTTCTGCCAACAACTTTAAAAATTTTAAACCCATACTTCAAAAGGTTGTCAGTGAGATGGCTAGATGAGACCTAGGTACAATGCTTCTATTTAATAAAAATGAAGAGTACGAATATCTTTGGAAAAACTTCTGCTTTTCTTCGGATGTTTTCGCCTTAGGATAAAAAATATGGTGAAACATATTGAACACTAAATTGTGGATACAAAAACATAAATACAGATGAAAGAGTTTCAAGGAAGACAATGTTAATTATGGATTATGACAAAAGTTCAAGCACAATATGTAAGAAACACGCCCCTTGATAAATATCAAAGCACTTTTTCAAAATCAAAATCATCCCCTCTAATTTTAGATTTTAATTAAATGACACAAGAAGCTCAAGCAAAAGTGGCAAGTTACAAACATCAAAAGTGATTTTCTCACCTGAAAGCTGAGAATCATTTTTTTTCTTTTTTTTTACTTAAACCTTTGCGAAGACTCGCATAAAAGGCTAGTTGTGACTGATGTCTCATAAAAGCCTCAATCTGAATTTTTCATTATGTCTCTAGAGAACAATGAGTGGATTTTCCATTATGTCTATAGAGAACAATGAGTTCATTTTCAGACAAATATAATGGCATTCTGGAAACTTCACAAGTCAAAAAGTTGTCGACGAGTTAAGATCAACATCTGCAGCGTTCGCTCAAAATTAAGCTAAAACAGCCTTATCCTTCTGACAACAAAAGGCATGAGAGTTAATGAAATTACTGGAGAGCAAAGAGCGACGGTATCCTCACAAACTTGGAAATAAGTTTATAGGTGCAGAAAGTGTGCAGAACGAATATTAATAAGAATCGAGTAGCATATTAAAGAAGTGACCTTTTACGACTAGCTGGCACATGGAACCAACTATAGCAGCAACAGAAGAGCTATCTGCTCCACCTGAAAGTGGAAGTAAAAAACCAGAAGCACCACTTCTTCTCAAGTAATCCCACAACCAGCACCCTGGCCCATAAGCTATTTCCTCCTCAGGTAAATGATAGTGAACCTGAGAGAAAAGAACTCCAATGATGACAAGGTTTTATTCTAGTAGAAAAAGCTAAAGGTTAGTGAAAAACTGATTGACAAAGCCACATGTAAAGTTAAGCGAGCCATCTCCCATTATGATGTCCTTTCTTTTTCTCTAAAAAGGGGGAATGCATGCACTCTATTGTAATTACACCTCATCTTTATTTTTTACTAGTGGATAACCCGAGAGATGCACGGGGCACATAGTACTAAAAATGTAAATATTTTATACATAAATCATGCTCATTCAAATAAAATACAATACTTAAACCAATCAAAAATATTAAATGAGGACTTCACATTATTGAATATCTTTGATGTCCACAACACTAATTGTTTAGTTGTTATACAATAAATTCTCAAACATCTCCAATTAGTGATGCAAGATACATCCACACATTGTTGTCTATGAATAAAAACCTCATTACTCAGCGATCCTGAGTTCAAGACTTTTATAAGATATTAGAATTACATTTTCTTGCACTTCATTTTAATGACTATTAACTATACTATACAGAGATTTTAAAGCTCATAACTATCTTCATTTTAAACTTAATTAGTTTTACTTATCAAATTTGCTAGCGAGATGACACTCATTCTTCCGCCGGTCACACCCAACCAAACATTAGCAACAAGTAACTACAATGGCATTGACAGACAAGGGTGATGACATTGTCCCTACCCCCTTTATAATTGCAAACCCCCAGAGAATTCGACCTAATTTTAGTTTCCGTCATTTTCATGGATTCATGTAATACCAAGTTTCTCGATTCAATAGAATATGAAAGAGTTCAATCTATTCAAACAATTCTCTTAGGAATTCAGTTAACTGCTAAGTAATATTTCAAACTTTTTCCAAAGACCAGAGCAGGATTTTGGGCCATATGTTAGCTCCAAAATATATTACAAATAGTCAAAAAACAATTGCAGTGTTTCACGGAATTTTTTGTTTAAGACCCTGTTGTCTCACCTTAATTGGACTTGAAAGTAACATCTGGAGCTTAAAAGACTCACACAGCTTGTGAGGTACTAAAATGGAGGGAACTTCTCGTTTGCAACTGGCTTGTTCCTGAAAGCTACTAATTGATCCTCGGAAACTGGCCACCTGCAATCAGACGTATAAATTAAAATGCAGCATATAAAAGTTTTTTCATGACCACGGATAACATACTATACTAAAGTAAATTTTTGTATGTTCTCAATCCTTGCCCCTTTCTATATGACAGGAAAAAAACTAAGGATGACAGACCAGTGAAACATATCATAAATTTCAAATCAGTGAAAAGTTACATAAACACTACTTAAAACTACACAAAAAGAAATTGAAGGAACACTATTTCCTTCCAGAGATCTGTATAGAGAATGCACTAAACTCACTCAATATTGGTACTGTAACAAGCTAAATATTCTTAAAAAAAAAAGCTAAATATTCTTAAAAACACAAAGCCCGTACAAGTAACTGATACATAACATACTGCATCTAGATCTACTTGAGCAACCACCAACTCAACGTCCTTCAGTGAGAACTGTGAGCCCTGAGCAACAACATCTCCATTCACCACAATACAAGAGCATCCATCTACATAAGAAAAATAAGCAAAACAAGACATTCCGGAAATATCATGCATTTTCACCACAAGGTAAATACATTCGAAAATATCATTTAGTCATAACTTAGTTTCAGCAAATGTTGTTCGCACATTACGAGCTAGTAAATATTACGAGTGGTATTCCAATTACATACAAGCTAGTAAATATTTTAAGCCTTTTAACCAAATATTACTGAGAATGTAAAAAGACTAAAAGAATTTAACAATTCTGTAAATCCACAACTAAGTTTTTAAATGAAAAGCGAACACCCATTTTGAAGTTGGGAAATTTAGTTACAAAGTTTATAGTCTAATTGAAATTCTAAAATGCGCGTTTAATCTTGTTGATATGTTCGATAAACCACTAGCATCAGCGACTTTATCCAGTGATCTCGATACAGACATGTGTTGAGGAATGAGAGAATCTCAGAGATATATCGAAACAAAAGAATATTCTGGACTACGGAAAAACAACTTAGACCACGCTACTAACCGTAATATAGGCGCCCACCATCACATCCTTGGTGATTACTGTACATGTAAACTCCTCCACGGATATGTGTAGCACCGACAAAAGCACGCATACGAAGATCAAGTTTCCGTAACTGATGATGGCTCCCACTAGCATTCATGAAAACTTCAACACCGTTCAATGCAAGCTCTGCATGAGGGGCCATAGGACTGAAAAGTTCCTCACACACTTCTGCTGCAACAGCACTACATGAAACACATACTTTGAGCATTAGAAATCATGAACAGTCGGGCAGGTGAAAAATCCAACCAAACCCAAATGAGTCAGAACTGTCACGAACTCGTGATCTAACAAAACAACGATAAAGCCAATATCGCATGATGTAGAACAACTCAAAGTGACTTGATAAACTATAATAAATTAGCAACAACAGAGATAGGTATATTCATATACCTAAATTACAACTCCTCAACATAACATTATGAGCAATACTAATACTGGAACATCTATAAGCTACATACTCTTTACGACCTATAAAATCCTGTACGACCAACCATATTCCTTTTGCACCTTTAAAAATTTAGAAACAGGAGAGATAAATTTCAATATCAAAACAACAGTTTAAGATGAGAGTGAACGTTAAGAATAATAGTGTAAGTGATCGGCACAACAGTTTAAAAGAATTATATTTGCAAAGAGATGATGGCATACGTATCAAGAAACTGAATAAATCCATAGCCGAAAGGCACTGTCCTTTGCGACAAATCATCAGATATTTCACTTGGAAGAAGAAAGTCTTCAAGATGCTCCTTTTGCTTCCATGCAGTAAACCATCTGAGTTCTCTGTAGTTACCATCATTCGCAAGCCACATCTTAGGGCGTATCAACAGTATTTTCCTATTCAAGCACAACACTTGACAGTTGTAACGTTCTGATCCTTTGATAACAGGCATACCGAAACTGCACAGTATGCCATCTGTCCAGCCACCAAGCAATAACTCTTTTAAGCAGCCCCAGCTGCAAATTTCATAACATGCATTCATTCAGAGAGAAAGAGAGTAAATAAGGCAAAATGAAAACCAAAGGTATAGCCTATTTGATGGATAAAATCTCCTAAAACAAAGAGATTCTCTAGGTCTCATATTTCTCACTTTTAGTTCATGCACAAGCAAACATGAATCAAGCAATGTTACGTGATTATATATTCAACTCAAGATAAATTGTTGGCATTCTATAGATGCCAAAAATAAATAATTGCACATACACTCACATACACACACAAACATATAAGATAATTGTTTGTATCCATCAGAACTTCCTAGTAAACCTCACGCTAAAATCGTCAACTGAACAGTGCTCAATTATACATACATGACATTCACTTAAGCAAGATTGATATATGTAGAACTGTAGGCTTACGCATGGTTGACCGTGTCAAGTTCCAAGAAATGGTCTTCACAGCCATAGCCAGTGATTTCAAGCTCGGGACCCAGCCGAATAACGGCACCCGCTTCTTTAGACCTCAAAATGGACTCTTTTATATTCTTCATGTTGCAATCAAAGTCCATTGCCCATTGATTCAAGTTGCATGTCGCTACCTTCAGAAGCCTCATATTCTTAATGCCCTGCAATTCATATACTTCCCAAAATCAGCAAACCAGTTAACCATTGCAAAATATTAAAGAATTTAAAAAATAAAAATAAAAATCAATCTTCAGCACGACGACGGCGAATTTGATGCTAAAAAAATCAATCTTCATGCATTTGTAGGGCAATAAAGTTCAACTCTCGTCAAAGAACCCAGTGGCCCTGAACGTGGGGACATGCACAAACAAAAGTCATAAGAAAAACATCTTTGTCCATCCTTAGTCTAGCATGGATGAATTGTCGATGACATTTTAGCATCGTAACCTCCACCCTTTCCCTACATAGAGTCCAAATTTCCTCTTTAAAACCTTCAGCCTCCACCAGAAATGATCGACAAAAAACCACTTCGCTGGATGACATCATCAGCCTCTTTGCCACTGATTTTGGGCTCCAAAGGAGCCACAACATCAGGTCTATACCCATTAATAATAGTAGAGAAAGCTCACTCAAAACTCTTCGAGCCAGCTCCTTGAACATTCCATGTCATTAGAATCATTTATAAACATTGGAGGGAAAGGGTGACCACTGTCAAAAAGGGGCTGAAACATTCCCTTCTAACTCCTCTTCCATATCGCACGACAAGTCCCCATCAACGTGGCCTTTCGGTTTAGACAACAAAAGATCCTAGTGATTAATGGTCGACAAACCATCCAACATCACATCCGCACTTTGGTTTTCAACAACACCTTCAGAGCCCGAGGCATTGGAGTCATTGAAAATGTGGTTTCTAGCACGTGGACAACACTATGTTAGTGGGGTCCAAATCAGAAGCCACCCTAATCACAGTTGGTCCCTGAGAACTTAGAGATTCCAGCTAGTCGTCATTGGGCGCGAGCATGGCTATTCAATTTGATTTTCCCACACTCACCCCGTTATCCTCCTTCTCGACTGCCACTACCGTTTCTACACTAGGCTGAGGCTCCATACTACTACTCACCCGTCCCACCTTCTTCAGACCCACCTCCTTATTTGTCGTAACCCTCCACTCCCCCTTCGACCTGGCTAATCCTTACCCTTATCATTTCTGAAAACATTAATGCTCTCCAGGAGTTCCTCCCTTTCCATTTGGATTTCCTAAATTCCCTACTCAGCATCCTCATTCATCACATTTAAAGCTTCATAACGGGAACCACTTGCAATATTAGCGGAATTTGGTTTTGGTAGTGATGCTGAATCCCGCAAGTTATTAGCTACTGATCCTCTACCCCTTTTTTTTTCGCTGCAATCCACTCACCATTTTCCACCAGGGCTGCCACATTTCTCTTCCGACCACCAACAGAAAAGCTACCAGTTCCATCAACTCCTCCCCCACTGTTCTTCTCTGGTTGATTAACCGGACTCGGCCGAGTAGGGCAAATTGTGCTAGACCACACGAGAAACATATATCGGGCAAATTCTCATATTCTATTTTTGTGGCCTACCCATAATCCGGATTTCTGTCATCAAAGGCTTTGTGAGATCAATTTGTACCGCTAGCCTCGCGAACCTCCCCCGTGTATGTGTGGCAGTTTGACGATCAACTTATAACACTTCACCCACGATGTCCCCAATCCTCCTAAAAACTTTCCTGTGGGTTATATGTAAGGTGGTATCCCTGGTAAACTAATCCATGCCACAATGGATTCTGTTCACCACCCACGGACCACCCACAAGAGCCTTAACTGCATCCTCATTCGTATTGAAATGAACTGAGAAATACCATTTTCATGATTAGGATCTGCCATCTCTCTTGGACAAATGATCGAACACCTAAAGGGCATGATAATTTTGCGCGCGCCTGGACAGAATGATCGAACACCTTCTCTCTAACTTACACTTTTGTCGCTATTGATCACTTTCTGCACCTATAAAAGCAGGATTCTGTATCTACTAACCAGTGGTGGCCGCGGGGCCGCGCAGTTGCTGGTGCTTGAACTGGTGGTGCGAGGAGTTCCAGTACTTGATGTGTGTTAGTGGACAGAGATGCGCTTTGCGTGGTGGATCAGGTGAGCTTGGCGGCAAGCAATCGCAATTTCCGCAGCTCCGAAAGAAAACGAAGAAATCTGTTAGCTTCGCTCCCACAGCTGCCGGAGATTCATCCGCCGCCGCCGTGAGAATGCTTCCGCCGCTGATTGGAGAGTCCTTCTACCGCTGAAGATCCGATCGATTCGATTGGTTCGATTAATCAATTGTCACGTGACGGTTAAACCTCAGGATTTCTCCACCACCGACTTACACATGATCCATTTCCGTGGTTCCTAATTGAGAAAATTGCAATAATAGTCTCAGAGTACTTTCACTCATTCACAAGTAGTCTTTATTTTGCAATTTTGATCCCAATAATGTTGCGATTTTGGTCTCAGTGTTGCAGTTAATACAAGATGAATGCTGTTAATTTATTAAGGCCTTGTTTACTTTGCTTGATGGGATAAGCAGTTTTATCCCATCAGCTTTACACATCAACTTTTGTATCATGCTTACAAACCATGATACATTTTATCCGGAATCTAATTAAGCATTTACTAGATGTGATAAAAATTTCTGATTTCCATGACTACAAATATACCCCCTCAGCTTTAAACAATGTTCGAAGTCATCCTCATTCTATTCTTGCGAAATTAAATAATTAGAACAAAATTTAAATAATTAGGCCCCTGCTTAGTAGAGTAGTCTGAGCAGTTCAAGAAAGAACGCCTTTTTATCATCCCCTCAAACTAACCCAGAGGCCAAGCCATCACACATTTCCTTCAAATTGGATTAACATAAGTACACAACAAAAATGATTTTCCCTAAATTAATAGAAAATTAAAAGACCCACCATTTGGCATTAACTAGTCACCAATTTCCCCCCTTAACTTCACCTCACCAAATTCACCCCAAATTACCAATCCCCAGACACACAAGCAATGGACCCGAAATCGAAGAAACTCCAGCCATCCAAGCCCCTAAAAGCAATGGTTTCATATTTCTAAAGGTTGGTGGGGCACACAGGCGAGCAATAAACCGAAAACAAAAAAGAGGAAGAAGAACCAGACTTACGCAGTCGCAAATGGCGGAGGAAATTAGGGCACAAACAAGTCGAACACGATCTGAACAATAGGGTAGTGAACCGGTGTCAATATTCGAACAAGAAAACGACAGGGAAAAAAAAAAGTAAAATCGAAGCTTACCAGTCGCGCTGCAGAGAAGACGAGAGACCTGGGGCTGGCACGATGAACTCGGCTTATGGGAGAAATTGTATTATATATTTTTTAAATCTGTAATTTTTTGGACAATTTGGTCAATTAGAAACTGGGATTAAAATCTATACTGATGTTAAAAGGTATCTCATTTACCAGATTTAGTATAAAGAAAAGTCAAAGGTAATTAATGTTTGCTGGAAATAGAATGATATTAATTACAGATTTGTTTTGGTATTTATAGTTTGACATTAAAAATTTGTTATGAGATAAAAATCAGAACCGATTTTTTTACCTTGCTGGAAAAGTCAAATGTAAGTATAGATTTGTTTTATTCCATAACATCGATTTAGTTAAAAAAATCTCATAAATCGGTTTTAATGTCAAGCCTATAAATAAAGATTTAATCGATTTTAATAAAGCAGATTTAATCGGTTTTAATAATTGCATAGAATTTCAAAGTTGTTATTTATTGTAAAAAAATTAAATTCTAAAAAAACATTTGTGTATATTTTGTAAAATGTTTGTACAAAATGTTTTACTTTAAATTTATTTACATAATTTAAATTAATTACATTAATAAATAATATGAACATACATTAAATATTTTAATTACATAAAACAAAAAGAAGAAGAAGATTACATCTATAACTTATAATAATAATGACATTATACTATAATAAATTTTATAATGAAATAATATAAGTATTATACGAGGAACAAGATTACATAAAATTGTTATTTTTCTTATACCAATGAATAAATATATAGTGAAATCAAATTTATATTATTATAAACATGTGAGCGAGATAATATATTAATTAATTTACGGGTTAGCGCTACCAGACTCAGGTTTAATGTTCCGACAAAAAAAAATGACGTGGATGAAAAGATGTAAAAAGATAGATGATCAAACTCTATTATTTTTTAGGCCTGAACGAACAAGCCCTATGGTCCACTTATTTAATATCTCCCGTGAATCGCACGAGCTACTTAACGGACAAGTTCTGTGGAAATAACTTATTAATACTTATGTCCCGTGCATCGCACGGGCTATGTGCTAGTATCCCAATAATGGTTAGTAAACATAAGACAGGGTTGGTTAAGCCCTTTATCTCATCTTATCCATTAAAGTAAACAAGGTCTAACAGATATCCTAGCTTACCGTTTAAAGAGAATTGGTACCTAACTACCTACACGTGAGATGTATAAAATGAAAAGTGGATAGTATTAATTTATTGGCAAATTTCTTTTACACTTCACTATATACATTCACTTTCTTTTACAAATTATCCCATAAAAAACTTCTTTTTCTCCCCCAATAACCACGAAACTATATGTGATATTTATCACATATCCAAATGAACTGCATAATTAACAATTATGCGATATTTTATCTCATATATGATAACGCATATCCAAATCCATCGCATAATTTTTGTTATGGAAATTTATTTCGCCTTATAATTATCGCATATCCAAATTGATAGTAGCATATTTTAGATTATGCGACAAGTTTTCACATAATTTATATCTCGCATACCCAAAACGGATGCATAGTTAACAAGTATGCGAAATACTTACGCATCGTGTATTCAAATCCAACGTCGTATCATAGATCCGTTTCAAAAACAAAGTACTGTAAAGAGATTTTAGATTCTACAAATCCAACGTCGTATCATAGATCTGTTTCAAAAACAAAGTACTCTAAAAAGATTTTAGATTTTAAAATCCTTTTTCTCAGGATTATGCGAAGACAATGCGTAATTGCACATTGTTCGCAGTTCTGCGTGATCGTGTAATACAATTTATTTTTTGTTTCAATTATTCGGTGTTATGCGAGTAATCGCATACAGTACGCACTTTTGAGTTGATTCTTAAAAACCGATCTTTAAATTATATAGTATCAACATCTCTTAAGAAAGATAAAAGTATTATAATAATTCAATTGCACATTTCCAACAAGATCGATCTAATTATTACATCGACTCTAACAACTTTTAAGAACCCAAACATCAGCATAAACATTCAACAATTCAAAAGGTTTACAAGATGCTATATTCTCTAAATATCTATATATAAATGGAAGACAAGTTGAAAAGTAAAAAGAGATCCTATTCCACCTTCTATCTCTTCATAAAATGCAGGAGCAAACATGAAAATGGAGTTGTGATGAAAGGTTGATGACGATAAACTAAAATTTGAAATAAAGAAGGAGAGAAAATAAAAAATAGAAAAGTTGATGATGCCAAATCGACGATGAAAGGTTGACATATGGAGAATGTTATAAGTTGAGGACAGTTTTGAGTTAAGGCATGCTCCAACGTGGATGGCGGGTCTGACTCACGCATGCGACGACTCTGTGGGTTGACGCCCTCTTGAGACGACTTCAGCATACAACATTTTCTTTAGGCGGGTAAGTATCTTCAGTCGTCCCATTTGGAAGAGACGATTGGGACGAATCTATATATATATATATATATATATGTGAGTTGGTTCAAGTAAAAACTAGTCCTGGTGTGAGAACCATATTTGATGCTATTTTTAATCGTATATGATGCTATTTTTAATATTAGATGATGCTATCATTTTCACAAATGCTACTACAAATTGTGTTGTTATTCTTAATAAAATTTATCTTGGTTAAAAATAGCATCAAACACAATCAATCATAGCACCATGCGCAATTAAAAATAGCGGTTTTCACGGTTCTCACAATAAGACTTTAGTTCTCATTTGAACAACATCCTATATATATATATATATAAAGGGGTTGGTTCAAATAAAAACTAGTCCTGGTGTAAGAACTGTATTTGATGCTATTTTTAATTGTGTATGATGCTATTTTTCATATTAGATGATGCTATCATTTTTACAAATGCTAACAGAAATTGTGTTGCTATTTTTAATAAAATTCATCATGGTTAAAAATAGCACAAAACACAATCAATTATAGCACTACGCACAATTAAAAATAGCGGTTCTCACTGTTCTCACATTAAGACTTGGTTCTCATTTGAACCACATCCTATATATAAATATATAAAGGTTTGACATTTACCTGAAATAGTAACTAATTTCCCGCCTAAACAATTCATACTTTTATTAGTAAATGATTTGAAAAATAACGGTAATTGTTTGAACATTCGAATTTCAAGAGTCGATCAAATTTGTACAATATTCACTAAAATTTCGTGTGATGTTACAAGCCGATTAAAAAAAGCAATAAAATCGGACCATAACATTTGCGGTAAAAAAATGCGGCTAAATGAATCTTCATTTGTTGCTATTACAAAGCGAGAAGAGAATAAATAAAATAAGATTTTATTAAAAAATCAATAAAACATGTTCAAATAAAATCGGTCAAATATTGCGGCTAAACGCGGCTAACTGAATCTTCATTTGTGACATGTTACAAACCGAGAAGGAAATAAATAAAATAATATTTTATTAAAAATAAAATAAAATCAGTCCAAAACAAAATCGGTTTGCAGCTAAATGAATATGGTTGAATCAAAACAATCTCTCCTCCATGATCTTCAAATTTCCTTTGCATGATCTGCAAAATTATATCACAATTATATCCTAGACGTTTCATTACGAAAAATTTAATCACAATTAATTGCGACATGATTTATTGCAAAATAATTTAATTTAATAGTGAAAGTTAAAAACGTTTGATTAACATCTATAAAAATTTCAAACAACGTGTGTATTGAAATATTGTAGCAATTGACAGTGGATACTTATTTTGGCAAATCAACAATATATCTAAATCTTAGTAAATCTGAATACAATTGACAGTGGATAATTATTTTGATTTCATTTATATTTTAATGTGACCAACGAAATATTGTGGCAAATTGGAGCCAATTGTGGCATGACTACATATTTTATATCAATTGTAATATTCTATTGAATCAATTTATAATTATTGTCTTGCGTAAGATATTTTCATATCACTTATTTATGGAATTAAACTACAATATACCTAGGCCTTTTCCTATAAATTCATTGTTCATTAATGTTGTTTACTCATCATTTTCTCGATTTTTGCTATTTAGTACA